CGTTTTATCTGTAAAATTACCTTCTACGCACTAACAAAAAATTTTCTTTGCGAAATTTTGGTACTACTAAAGCTCTTTCTAAACTAGCTTAATGGCAAAACCTAATCCTAATCTAACAGTGAAATTTTTTTAGCGAAATTTTTTAGGTTGGTAACGCTAGATCAGTTAGAAAAACTTCTATTATAGAAATTTTTTTATGTAAGAGCGCATGTTTTTTGCTTCTGTCTAACCTTTCCAACATTTCGAGTTTCAGAAAAGAGGTGAAAGAAAACTATATAAAAGGGCAGTATCTCGAATTTATTGTTTTTTTGTTGCTTATTAGTGATTTCTCCTGCTATACTTTACTAAATCATGTCTACATCTATTCTATCAAACGAAATTCTTCAAAACTTTTTAAAAAATAAACTATTAGAACAATTATCTATTTCCAGAATAATTAATGAGCTGTGGAGTGTTTTTGGGATAGAAACGAAAGAGTTAGATTGCGAACGTATTATAAATATGTTATAAGATATTTCAAATGAAGACATTAATAATGGTCGTAAATCACATCTTCAAGAGTTGAAAAATATTGATAAGAAATTTTGAACAAAATGTTATTTTTGATATAAATTGTAAAATAATGGAAAATTCGAAGTCTTTAGTTAATATAATAGAGTTGTGTAAGTAGTAATATTAAATTACCTGCGAGAAGCTACTTTATTGCATTAACATGACATTGGGTTTTAATGGGTACCCAATAAATTGCTAGCGAATGCTGATTAATATTTTGTATTGATGTAATTGAATATGATTGGATCTTAATAATCTAAGCTTCTGCATTTTTTAATGAACTCAAAACATTAAAGAATGCCGATTTATTTTATAATAAATTTAAGGACTAACGGATTAGAAAGTGCAGGCTGAAATGTACTATAGGCAATATAAAAGGTATTTATCATAAATAATTTTGTTGCTAGAATTAATATAAAATTAAGCTAATACAAATTGATTATTATTATTTGTCTATTAGAATAGAGGAATCAACGTCTTTTTGGAAAATTATACAAAATAGATATTAATGACTTAATATGTGATGATCCTTTGTCGAATAGTATGATTGACCTTGGCTCTGATCAATTTCAATTATTTGAGAATGACTTTGATTTACTTGTGGGAGAAAAAGCAAGGATAAGAAGATTAAGTAAAAGTGCTTCAATATAAAGTATTTGCGCTGACTTTGTTAGAAGAAGAGATAAATTTTAAGAAATATACAAATTGATAGTAGCTGAAGGTGTGAATGTTATTTATTATTGCTGGGTTAAACAAGAAAGTGAAAAAGAACAGATTGTAAGAGATATTACTAAATATCTCAACAGTTGATAAAATCAAATTCTTTTCATCAAGTTTCTAGAGGCTCTGAGAATTTGCTTGTGGAAGTAGTGGCTCGACTAATCGAAGTGGCTACATATCAATTACCAATTAATAGAAATGAACATCAAAGTGTAGTAAGTAAAAATCGTAAAGCCAAACTAAAAAATAGTGCAAGGAATAACAAATTAAATTTTTATGATTTGAGTATTCCTAGGTCAGAAATTGTATATGCAGAAAGTGGTAAATGGAACTGTAACGAAGATAAAATACTTGAAGATCACAATAAATTAGTAAGATTTTGTATTGATAGATATAAAGAGATTTCAAAAAAGCATGTGAAAGATGTTTTATGGAAAAATAATATTACTCTTGGAATTAATATTGTAGGTAAAATTATGAGTTATATTTATTTACTCAAATTGGTTAGTAATTCATGAATATATCATTAGGAGAAGTTATAATAGTTTACAGATTAATCTGAGAAAACGGGTAAAATATTATCTCCCAATTGCCAAAGCAAAAATCCCATTAGGATCTGAATCTGTCGAAGAGGTAGAAGAATTTGTTCATGTTTTAATGACCATACGAGTAAGTTTAAAAGCTTATCAACAATTAGTAATTTTCTAATTAGAAAAAAAATTAAATTGCAGAATGGTTTAATCACAAATTTGCAATGTTTAATCAACAGTACTCAAAAAAAGACAAGAAAGATAAGTGAAAGAAGTCCTTCACATAAATCAGAAAGATTAAATAAGAAAAAAAGTAGGAAATTGAAAAAAAGGTGGTTTTATTTCTGTAATTTATTTTTTATTTTTTTATATCAATAAAACTGGTCCTAGTGGCTATATTTTACAAATATACTGTATAATAATTACTGATTAACTGGTAGCATCTATCTTTAGGGATGGTAAATAACCTGATCATTTGATCAAAATTTAAATGACCTCAAGTTAGTGATTGGACCTGGATAGGTGACCACCTGAGTCACCCGTTCACCTGCGGGTGACCCAGGTGTATTGTAACAACCCAGGTAGAAACAGATAGATCACCCGATAGGTCACCCGGCAGGTCATAATTTCTAAGACACTATAAAAAAATAAATCGAATTGAAAATTTTATCCGTAACCTGTCAGGTTAATTATCAACCAGATACCTGAATACCTGATTACAGCTATTATTATAATTCCTGAGACACCTGATAAAAATTAGCCAGATGATTTTTGGCCGATTCAGTTAAGTTTTGTAATTTAAGATCAGGTAACTAATTTAAATGCTATATCACTACGAAGATTTCAGGACAAATACAGAAACAAAGCACCTTCGCTAGCGAATAATCGAAAAAAAATTAGAAAGCTTATTATTTCAGAAATTGTAAAATATTTAGAAGTTAGCATTTAGTTTATAAGTTGAGTTCTTAAATACTTTTGAAGATATGGATGTATTGAAAAACTTCTGTGGTACATTTTTAACAAATATTAATAAAAATCAAGATTTCTGAACAGAATCTTAAGTCAATCTTTAAACAAGTCGACAAATTCTTGGCTATATCTAACTTTTTAATATCGGCACCTACTCGTGTAATATGTTTATCTAATCTTTTCTATAAGTTTTCACAAATATTCAACCGAAAATTTAATAATATTGAACCTATCGGCATTTATAATAATAAAATTATCTATAGAATAAATATTATATATATAACTGTTGGGTCTGTGTTTAGCTAAAGCGATTCACATTACTATTAATCTTGTAAAGGTGTTTAACTTAATTACAAAAGAGCCTGATTCGCAAATATCTGGATAAATTTTCTTATAGCAGGACATATAACAAAGATTTCCTGGTCCCGTTTTAAATATATACTATATGTGATGCAATTTTCTGTTTTCAAAAAGGTGTGAACAGATGCAAATAACTATATCATGAAAATTCACGAAATTACCCAGATTTCCAAAACTTTCAAAGCCAGCTCCTCAATTTTAACTAATGATAATTCCCAATTCTTCGATTTTCCACATAGGTATGTAAAAATTGTTGTTCACATTTTTTTGAAACAGCTGTAATACATTAAAATAAATAACCGGAAAAATTAAAGCTTAGAATAAATTTACATAAAAACTATACTGATATTTTCTGATATACAAACTATGTAACTAGGTAATTACCCATCAAATATAATAATAATTCTCATTAATTAATACGTTAAAGTATAAAACAAGTAAATTCGTTTTAAAAATCAAAAAGAAAATTTTGTTATTTTTAATATGGTTTTAAGAAAATTTAACTAAATAGTAGAGCCCACCTGGGTTTTAACCAGGTCTACCTATTAGGTGATCTACCAGGTTCTACCTGGGTGTCCGATAGCCCACCCATCAAGTAACTCGGGTGACATTTTTTTAGACAGATCTAATTACTACCTCAAGTTATCAAATAATGAGGTTATTTGGATCATTTGTATATAAAACAATTTTATTGGTTGAATTACTCATAAAAAAGTTATCGAGCTTTATTACTTTTCTAATAGATAATCATAGCAATATATTAAAATTAAAATGTTATTAAGGGTATTCTCAAACACCTCACTAGTGTTCTGACCCGTCTCAAAAATCCAAACCCGGGTCACCCATGGGTGGGTCACTCGAGTGACCCAGGTGATACAAGAAATTTTACAAATGGATCATCTGCGGATGGGTCACTCAGGTAACCTGTAGTTTATATAAAAAAATGGTTAATTACCTGTAATAATTAACCAATCAAATTCCACAGGTCTAAAAGTTAAGCATTACTTCTTATTCTCTTATTCATTTTACTAACACTAATATATTTCTTATGTTTTCTTAGAATTGTTATCAAGTTTCAAATTTCGGGATCACGTATCACTGGATCACAATTTAATCACAGTTATGTTACTAACAATGGGGTCAATCACAAACATAATCACTTGGCTTTTATATAAAAAGGTTTTG